TGGACATACTAATAGCATGCCATGTCTCTGTACAGTCATTCCTAGCAACCTCATGAGTTAACCTAGACTGTGGACAAAATGGCAACTTTTAAGGAATCTACAAAGAAAATCCTGCAACGATGAGAAACTCCCCATCATCCACCAGCCTTTGGGACCTCAGTGCTGAGAACGTGTACAAAGGGGAGGTGAAGTTCCCAATAAGTATATGGCATGGCTCCGGTTAGGGCTGGAAGCCATGCCAGAGCAGTTAGAACTCATGGAATGTCAAACGTTATGTCAGTACAAGCATTTCCCAGCCTGGGGGTTGGGACCCAAAAGCCTTTGAAAGTGAATCAGAGGCCGGCCCTCCCTAATAGCTGCTCTAGCCTCTTTCTGGAGGCTTTTTGTTCACAGCATATGCATGTTGATTCATAAAGAATCAAGTATCCTGGTGGTTACTAGAGTGTGTTTCTTTTAATTTTTTTTTTTTGGGGGGGATTAGAAGGAATAATGGAGGAGGCCAGGGTGGAATGTAACCTCCGTGTGCAAAGGCTGTGTATGTTGGAGTGTCACTTGTTTGGGGTTCATCATGGGGCCACTGCAGCCTTTGCCCAGTGTTTGTTGGCTTCTCGGAAATACCTGGTTGGCCTGTGTAGGAAATTGAATGCTGGGTTAGGTATGTGTCAAGGTCATCGTTTGCCCTGACCCGGATAGCCCAGGCTAGCCCAATCTCGGAAGTTAAGCAAGGTCCGTCCTGGTATTTGGATGGGAGACCACCAGGAATACCAAGGTCATGATGCAGCCTTGAAAACCCTTTGGGTCATCATAAATCAGCTGTGACTTGACGGCAACAAGGTCATAGTTTACCAAGGGCTCAAAAAAAAAACAACTTAGGCCAACCGTGGACGGGTCGTCTACCAAGCAAATCTTGATTAGTGGGTTGCTGTGCCCAAAAGGCTGGGAACCATAGAGCATCATAGGTGATGTTGAGCCCACTTGTATTCTTCACTCATGTGGTCAAGGAGTAGCCAGAAAGTGAATTCTCAAAAGTTTGGTTGGGCATGGTTGCTGTGTCTAATATCTGGGGTGGAAGAATTTCTGTGTGGCCCTTTTATCATGTCTTTCAGGAGCAGGATGATAGAAGCCAAGCCGGGTGTAACTGGGAAAGGCTATGTACACAGAGGTCACAGAAAACAGAATGGCAGCTCGCTGACAGTAGCTCACAAAGTAGAATTTTTGCTCACAGGACCCCATAGCTTAGAGGGAACATTGCCCTACATCTCTATAGTCCGCTCCGTTGGATGTGGCCTGAACCTCTTCAGCTCCCCATCTTCAAGCTGAACCCCGGTGGGGGGGAGGGAGGTGCTAGTTTGAGGGAGGAGGGGGCATCAGGGAGAACCTCTTTCCCCAGCCTGGTGGGGTCCAGCATGCCGGGGGTGAGTTCCCTGTGTCCCCCCCCAGAACATCTGGAATTCCAGAGGGATCCATCAGGCTCTTGAGTCCCTCACCCTTTGATCCAGTCTGGGTCCCCCTGTTCTCCAAGGCCCCATCAAATCACCCCAGTCGTTTCCAGTGATTTTGTGGAGAGATGGAGACAGACTATCTGGACAGAGATCTTTTCTGTACAGAGGAGGAATTGGGGATGGAGGCTTCCCTCCCGATTCCGAAGGGGAACTCCGCCACAGACTTCAGGAGGCGAACTAGCCCTAATTCTCTGTGGAAGATGCAGATAACTGGCCCACCTTTTCTCCCCTGGCAGGCAGTGAAATGACGGTGGAGAGCCTGCCTGAATTGCCAGCTCAGGTAAGGGGAAGAGTCCTGTGGGAGGGGGGTCCGCAGGGGGTGATTTGGGTGGCCCCTCCTCAGTTCCAGCCTCTAGAGGACCCCTCTCCTGCCCTTGACTTGTGGGGCTGCAGAGGGTCCCTGGGGTGATCGGGTCTGGGCTTCCCCTGTGAACCTGCCGGGAAAAATCCTCCTTGTCTGCATCTCCTTGTATGGGGGTGGGAGATCCTGGTCACACCCCCACATATAGCTTGCCCCAGGGCTTCTTTTTTTTAAATAGAGGTGCCAGAACTCTCAAGAGGGAGATGAAGTTTTCAATTTGTATACTGAAAACTCGTGAACTTTTAAAGATTTTTAAAAGAATTTTGTCCAAGAGGTTCCGGAACTCCATTCCAGTGCATTCCCCCAGTCCCTGAACTCACCTGTCGTGATTCCTCAGGAAGGAAACTGTTTTCTGGTTCCAGGGACGGGTGTCTTTCGAGGAGGTGGCTGTGTACTTCGCCGTGGAGGAATGGGCCTTGCTGGATCCCTGCCAGAGAGCGCTGTACAGGGAGGTCATGCTGGAGAATTATGGGATGGTGGTCTCTCTGGGTAAGAATCCCCTTAAAGGTTGCTCAAGGGACAAATTTCTTTTGTTATTTTTGATGTAGATGAAGCAGGAAAGGGTTAGTGGGGAAAATGCCCTGGATTTTCCTCCTTTGGTTTTTCTGGCCTGCCATTTTCTAAAATATTTTTCCAGAGGGGGGAGCCCTGATCTGGTGGATCTGTGTCAGATTACAGTGAGCGGGCCGAGACACTGAGGAGTGCTTTAATACATGCCCATTTATGAGTTACCTTTGAGAGTTCATCATGCCTTGTATGGATCATATTGCAGTTTTTAAAGAACCCTGCAGGGGAGGCCAACATTACTGTCCCCATAACACAGGTGGAGAATTTTGGGGTTGGGGGCTTAACAGTTTGGCTGAGGCTGACTTGCGAGTGGGTAGAAGCCAGAAAGTCTCCATCAAACACCGCTGTATGAGCTCTGCTAAGCAGCAACGTGCCAAGATTTCAGTCCGAGGCCTTTTTGGGGCCTGTTTTCAGGACTCCTCTTGACTTCATGTGCCAGAGATTGAACCAGGGACTTTCTAGCCTTGCGTGACTTCTATTTTATCTGCATCAAGGTCAAAGTGATGCTGTTTAGACTGTGTTGCAGGCGAGAAGGCTTGGAATCCCTGAATAATGATCTAGTCCAGACTCCAAGAAATAAGTAGTGGTTCTGGGAAAGGCCTGGAGCTTGGAGGCAGAGCAACTTTTTTGCAGCAGGTCCCCAATTCCATCCTCAACACCTTTTTCCAAGAAGTAGGCTTCGAAATGCCCCTCTCTGCCTGAGACCTTGGAGGGACAGAGGCAGCTGCAGTCCTCAGTCCTGGGCAGGATGGGCCAGTGATCTGACTCTGAGACTTAATCTCTTAATCTCTTTTTTCTTCACGCAGGATGCCGGGGTTCCACGCCTGCCCTCATCTCCTGGCTGAAGGAAGTAGGCCTTTTTCTCCAGAGCTCCACAGAAGACCCTCAGTCAGCAGGTAGATACTTCACGGGAACCCCTTTGCCTACAGGAAAACCCGCATGATCAGCAAGAAAAGTGCAGGTATAATCAAAATGCTGCTGCAGGACAGGCTGATCTGAAGAAGTTCCAGAGCAATTTCATACAGAGATGCATCAGGCAACATCTCTAGATGGAGGCCAGTGTGGCCTAGTGATTAAGAGTGGTAGACTCTTATCTCGAGAATCAGGTTTGATTCCCCACTCCCCCTCCATGTGAAGTCTGCTGTGTGACAAAACATTGAAACTAATCCTGCATGCTGTATGGTTTGAGGCTCAATTCGTATCACCATCACAGCTAACTAGAATTCTGCTGAAGCAGTTTGGTGTGGGGGCAGTGGAGGCCCGGAGGGGGATTCACTGCTCCTCTGTTCTCCTGGCTGTTTACCTGGAAATTGGGAACCTAGCTAATTGCACAAGGCAGATGGAATGTAGGAGCAATGTGGTCGGCACTCCTGTGGCAAACCCAGGACTGTTAACGTTTTTCCTGCATGGAGGACACATCTGCTGATATGCTAAATTCATCATGTGAAGCTACCTTGGCAAAAAGGATTTCACATTAAAACAATAAAAAAAGGGATGACATGTGGGAAAGCAGTGCAATCTCCTGCCTGGAGATTGGTAACCCGAAAGTATTTGTGTGCTAACAGCATGAGAAGTCTGGTGATTGCCTACCAGTCAGTGTGACCTTGGCAGATAACAGAGAGCTTACACACACATACACACCCACATTCCTTAAGGATGCTAGAATGCTTGAAACTTTCCTCTACGCAGATAGACGGAGGAAGAGAGGAGGGGGGGAGGAAATGGGGGAAAACGGAGCTTATAAAATAAAAGCTGGGAAGCCGAGAGGTTTCAGATCAGTTCCTGCAGCCGTTTGTGTCCTGTCGTCTTTGCTCGTGAACCCTGCACCCCACACCCTAACGAGCAGCACCTCAGTTTGGTGCCAGTTTGGTGTAGTGGTTAAGTGTGCAGAGTGTAATCTGGGAGAACCGGGGCTGATTCCCCACTCCTCCACTGGCAGCTGCTGGATGACCTTGGGCAAGCCATAGTTCTGTCAGAGCTGCTCTTGAAAGAGCTCTCTCAGCCCCACCTACCTCACAGGATGTCTGTTGTGGGGAGGGAAAGGGAAAGGAGTTTGTAAGCTACTCTGAGACTGTGAGTGAAGGGCTGGTTATAAATACAGTCTTCTCTTCCTCCTTCAATTAAAGCAGCCCTGATTCATATCTGTCCCTGTCAGGATCTGCCTGTTCCTTAGTGTTTGGAAGTTCGCCTAAACAGGTTCACCTTTTTCCCTGTTGAGAAATGTAGAGGTCTTCCTTCCCATTACTTCATTCTGATCCTTCTATCTGTTTAGGTAACGTTTGGGAGAACGAGAATGAGGGGGAACATTCAAGGATGTCACTTGGTGGAGTAACAGACAGAGAAAAGGTGAACAGAGAGGATAGAGAAGAGATGCAGGAGGGGAGGAGGACACAGAAGAATGGGGATCTATACAGAGGTGTACGAGATCAGAAAATGGAAATCCAAGCCAAAACCTACAATGGAAAGAAGAGGACAAAAAGTACTAAGTGCGGGGATCATATCAGTCTCGATGCCCACGTGGGCATCCACAGAAGAGAAAAATGTAATAATTGCCTGGAATGTAGGAAGAGTGTCAGTCGAAGTGAAACCCTCACTTCCCATCAAAAGATCCATATAGGAGAGAAACCGTATCAGTGCCCTGAGTGTGGAAAGTCCTTCAGTTGGAGATCAAAGCTTTCTTCTCATCAAAGAATCCATACAGGAGAGAAACCATATCAGTGCTCAGAATGTGGAAAGAGCTTCAGATTGAGTAGCTCCCTCACTTCTCATCAAAGAATCCATACAGGAGAGAAACCTTATCTGTGCTCAGAGTGTGGAAAAAGCTTCCGTCACAGTTCACACCTCGCTTCCCATGAAAGAATCCATACTGGCAAGAAACCATATCAGTGTTCAGAGTGTGGAAAGAGTTTCCGTAAGAGTTGCATCCTCACTGCCCATCAAAGAATCCATACGGGAGAGAAACCATATCAGTGCTCAGAGTGTGGAAAGAGCTTCAGCCAGAGTAGCACCCTCATTTCTCATCAAAGAATCCATGCAGGTGAGAAATCTTTTCTGTGCTCAGAGTGTGGAAAGAGTTTCCATAAGAGTTGCAACCTCATTTCTCATCAGAGAAACCATACAGGAGAGAAACCATTTCAGTGCTCAGACTGTGGAAAGAATTTCCGTAAGAGTTCCACCTTCATTTCCCATCAAAGTATCCATACGGGAGAGAAACCATATCAGTGCTCAGAATGTGGAAAGAGTTTCCATAAGAGTTGCAACCTCACTTCTCATCAAAGGAACCATAGAGGAGAGAAACCATTTCAGTGCTCAGAGTGTGGAAAGACCTTCAGTCAGTATTGCACTCTCACTTCACATCAAAGAATCCATACAGGCAACAAACCATATCATTGCTCAGTGTGTGGAAAGAGTTTCTATAAGAGTTCCAATCTCACTTACCATCAAAGAATTCATACGGGAGAGAAACCATATCAGTGCTCAGAGTGTGGAAAGAGTTTCAGTCAGTATTCCACCCTCACTTGCCATCAAAGAATCCATACAGGAGAGAAACCATATCAGTGTTCAGAGTGCGGAAAGCGCTTCGCTCAGAGTCACACCCTCACTTCACATCAAAGAATCCATACAGGAGAGAAACCATATCAGTGCTCAGAGTGCGGAAAGAGCTTCAGTCAGAATTGCACCCTCACTTCTCATCAAAGAATCCATACAGGAGAGAAACCATATCAGTGTTCAGAGTGTGGAAAGAGCTTCAGTCAGAGTAGCGCCCTCACTTCTCATCAAAGAATCCATACAGGAGAGAAACCATATCAGTGTTCAGAGTGTGGAAAAAGATTTAGGTACCGTTCGCACCTCACTTCCCATCAGATAATCCCTACAGGAGGGAAACCATATCCGTGCTCTGAGTGAGGAAAGAGTTTCCGTTAGAATTGCAACCTCACTTCCCTTCAAAGAGCCCGCACAGGTGAAACCATATCAGTAGTCAGAATGCAGAAAGAGCTACACTTGGCGTGACACACGAATATTCACATAGGGGAGCAACCGCATAGGAATGGGCATGAAGAGGCTGATGAAGGCTGATGATCTAAAATTCGTCATGTAATATGTTTGGATGCTTTTATTAGTTTTCATGGATTGTCATTTGGTAACAGCATCGAGCTTGTTTTGTGATGTCTGAATAATCTTATGTCAATATCAAACACGTTTTATGATTTATTTTCGTTAAAAGCTGTATGAATATTAGGCCCCAGGCTAAGAGCACCTGCATGAATGTGTTATGTGCAGTCCAGCCGTTCTGGCTTACTGTTACCCTCTGTATGAATGAATCACCTCCAAAGCAACATATTATGACCAGCCTGGCTCAGGTTTTGGAAACTGAGGGCTGTGGCTTCATCATGTTCAGGTACAACCAGAAGTAACGCCACTTCCCAGCCCCATTTTTGCTCCTGGGGGAGTGAAGTCCAGCAGCAGGGCCCTACAGTGGGGGGTTGGAGGCAACCACCCATGACTGGCAACCTGGTAAGGCTCGTGGGAGTGTCTTCCACACTGTCAGGGTTGGGTAGGGGCAATGCACTGCTCCGAGTCCCACTTGGAGGCTTCGACAGACCTCAGTCTAGAGGGGAGCAATGCTCCCTCTAAGCTGTGGATTCTTTGAGCAAAAACTACTTTGTGAGCTACTGGCATTAAAGCTGTGAGCGAGCAATTTGGCTGCTGCATAAATTAGTTTGCTCTGGAGCCATCCTTCTTGAGCTAAGATGAAAATGTGTGCCCCTGGAGCCTCAAAAACTGTGAGCCAGCTCACACTAACTCAGCTTAGAGGGCCTTGGCTAGGAGGGCGGGATAAAAATCAAACATCTACATGCACCCCCTCGCCCAGATTGCCAGGAGGTATGGGCTGGGTTGTCATCAATATGCAGATGACATCCAGCTCTATCTGATGTTGGGTGGCCGGTCAGGCTCCGACCCAGAAGATCTGAACCGAGGATTATAGGCTGTGGCTGGGTGGCTCAGGCTGAGCCGGCTGAAACTAAACCCAGCGATGATGGAGGTCCTGTGCCTGAGTCGGAACGGTTTGGGGTTGGGGCTCCCTCTCCCGACCTTTGATGGGGTGCTTTTGGTGCCAGCGTCGGAGGTTAGGAGTTTGGGAGTGCTCCTGGATCCCTCCTTAACTATGGAGGCCCAGGTGGCAGCCACTGCCAGATCTGCATTCTACCATCTAAGGCAGATTTGGCAGTTGGCCCCCTTCCTCAACCGTGATGACCTGGCTACAGTGATCCATGCGACAGTCACCTCAAGACTAGACTACTGTAACGCTCTCTACATGGGGCTGCCTCTGTCGCGGATCCGGTAGCTGCAGCTAGTGCAGAATGCGGCGGCCAGGCTGCTGATGGGTCTTCCCAAGTGGGAGCACGTCCGGCCTGGGTTGAAAGCGCTGCACTGGCTGCCAATAGCATACCGAATCCGCTTCAAAGTGCTGGTACTCACCTTTAAAGCCCTATATGGCCAGGGTCCGACCTACCTGAGGGACCACCTTTCCCCACATATACCCCCAAGAGCACTTCGGTCGGGGACCCAACACCCCCTGTGGTGATCCCAGGCCCCTGGGAGGTAAAGCTTGCTGCGACCAGGGCTAGATCCTTCTCAGTGGCGGCCCCTACCTGGTGGAATGAGCTCCCGGAGGAGATCAGGGACATGCGGGACCTTATGCAGTTCCGCAGGGCCTGCAAGACGGAGCTCTTCTGCCAGGCTTTTGCATAGGGGCTGCCGCTGCCACCACTACCAAGGGTGGCGATACCATCGGGATTAGGGATCGCCCTTGGAAGCTCCACCATAAATTGCATGGCATGGACAATATGTGATTGGCTTGATCTATCTGCTGGACAGTGCCACCCAATGGGGAGGACTGAGGATGCCATCAAAACCACTCAAGACCATCATGTTTACAGAAAGCACTTTATTATGGTTATTGGTATTAATATGTATGATTTTACTGTTTTATCTGTTTGTATGCATGGGCTTATGCTCCTTGTAAGCCGCCCTGAGCCCGCTTGCGGGGAGGGCGGGGTAAAAATGCCTAAATAAATAAATAAACAAATCAAACATTGGAGGGGAGGGGGTAACAGCATCTTAGGTCTCCCCCCTCCTCTCTACTACCCTCCACGAGCTGGTTAGCTGGCAGGAGGGCTAACCTGTCCTGGGTCTGAGTCTCTTGCCCTGATGAGAGACATGGCCTGCGTTCATGGGCAGGAGCTAATGCCACCTGCCCGGGTGTGACTTGGCCAGGCCGGCCTCCAGCCTCATCCTCCATCTTTAAATGGCTGCCCCACCTACCCCGGCTCGCCTCTGCCAGGACATTCACCCTTCAGACCACAGCACGCGGTGGCTGCTCCTTCCTCACCTTACCCCACTGTGCTGGGGATGCCAGTGATAGCTTCGGCTGGCCTGGCTTCAAGGGGCCTTCTGCCTAGGGGGCGGACTTCCCTGCTTTGTCACCCCTCTGGGGCGGGGCTGAATTTGGCTGTCAGTTGGCCACTGTGTCTCCAGGGGTGCTGAGGCTACTTCTGGACACCAGGTTGGGCTGCCATGAGGCACTCCTCGGTTCTCAGTTTGGCCGACTTCGGCTTGTGACTGGGGCAGGATGTCGGGTGAGCTTCCTCTACGGTAGTACAGTTGGGAGTCATTGTGGGGGAAAGCAGGAGACATGCTAGAGATGGCCCAGGAGATACAGGGCAGTAATCTTCATCACCTCCACCCTGTGGGGGAGGGATTTGGTTGTTTTATTTAGTTATAACCTTTGCTGTGTTAATGACTAGCCGTGAACTGCCTTGAACCGAGAGGGAAGGTGGGGTAGAAATACTTTGAGGTGTGTGGGAATCTGGAAGACGCAGGCCCCACGGGTCTCCTCCATTGTTCCCTCTAAGCTGAGTTAGTGTGAGCTAGCTCACAGTTTTTTAGCCTCCGGCTCACACATTTTTATCTTAGCTCAGGAAGGATGGCCCCAGAGCAAATTAACTTATGCAGTAGCCAAATCACTCGCTCACAATTTTAATGCCAGTGGCTCACAGAGTAGAATTTTTGCTCACAAGACTCCCCAGCTTAGAGGGAACATTGGTCTCCTCTCAATTCCCCCATTGGCACTGCATAATGCTGGATCTACGAGGAATCAATCTGTGCTCCTTGTAGATCTGGCACCTTAAAAAATAGCACTGAGAAAAGGGCAACTACAAGGATTAACAGGGTGGAACACCTTCCTTAGGAAGAAAGGTTAAAGAAGTCAGGGCTCTTTAGCTTGGAGAAACAATGATGAAGGGGTGACATGACAGTGGTTTACCAAATTATTCATGCAGTAGAGAAGGTAGAGAAAGAAGTACTTTTTTCCCATTCTCACCGTACAAGAACTCATGGGCATCTTTTTGTAACTTTCCATAGCAAAGTTTAAATTAATAAAAGATACAAACATCTCCATATCATAGTCTTAGTAAGTATTCAGCTATAAAATATAAAGTATTTTAAGGATACGACTATAAATCTCTAACTTTTGGCAGGTCATTGATAGGGCAGTTGGTGCCATGTCACTTCAAAATCCTTTCACTGGCATTTGAACAATTCAGTTCATTTAAGTGTCTATACAAAAAAAAGAAAGTCTTTTCCTTTTTTAAAATAGGCTGAAAAAAGTCAAATATATATACAGAGATTGCTTATAGACTCCAATAGTTCAATATTGATAGGTTAAAGCATTCTAAACTTAAGGAAAAGGAAGCAGAGTTGATTTTTCCTCATTTAAAGTTGCTAAAAATCATAAACTGCTATGAATTTTTAACCTCATTCTTTGAAGCAGAGGCTGGAACATCGATCTGCACTTATGACAGGTCTGCTTCATACCAGTCTCATTTAAAAGGTAAGGTAAGAACACCTCATTAAAACTGAAACACTCCCACTTAGAAAAACTCCTCTGTTGTCAAATTTGATTTAGAACACCTGTTTTCTACCATTCTGCTTAGTGGCCAACAGCTTAATTCTCCAGGGGAATCCCAAAGAATTTCTCCCAAAGATTCCTGGAAGTCAGCAATAATCAATAGGCAATCATTTGAAGCCTTGAATTGTCCTCTCTACAAGGACAACACACCTGAGTCAGGTGGAAAACAGGCAGGCAGGAGGACTTGGTACCTTTCAGGGTTGGGCAACTTCTCAGGCAGGGGTGAGAGCCACTCCTTCCAGGCTAAGTCGCTTCAGGACAGGATTTCCTGGCCAAGACGCCCACCTGCCCCTGGCAGCACAGTGGGGGCCTCTGTGGACTCCCCTTCTGCTTTCCAGCAGCTTTCAACCTGGGTCTGAACAGTGAACGGGGGAAGGAGAGGACCTTGAAACCCCGGAAGAGCTGCCCCCAATTCTCCTCCCTGAGAGACCTTTTGGGCAGGACTCCTCCATGGCCCCCCTTCACAACATCCCCGGTTATCAGTTACACATTATAATTCCTATTTACAAATTCTGACGGGGTGATAGCTCCATATGTGTGCAGACCTTGTTATACTTATTAGAACATTTTGCCTCTTGGTGAGAGCCAGTTTGGTGTAGTGGTTAAGTGTGTGGACTCTAATCTGGAAGAACTGGGTTTGTTTCCCCACTCCACATGCAGCTGCTGGTGTGACCTTAGGTCAGTCACAAGTTGTCTCAGAGGTGTTCTCTCAAGAGCAGTCCTTGAAAGAGCGCTCTCAGCTCCAGCTATCTCACAGAGTGTCTGTTGTGGGGAGACGAAGGGAAAGGAGATTGTAAGCCGCTGTGAGACTCCTTCGGGTAGTGAAGGGCAGGGTATAAATCCAAACTCCTCCTGAGTCCTGCTTAAGGCAACTGACGTGATTTAAAAAACCACTGTGTTAAAACACAAGCCGTAAAAACCAGAGCCATCGGACAGCAGCAGCATAAGGACTGTATCAAACAGAAGCAGACCCTTCAGACGGCAGAGAACTAAGAATGCTGTGAACTCAAAAGGGATGGAAGACCCCGGCTGTCCCACCAAGGAAGCTTTGCTCTTGGGGGGGG